ACTGCAAGTTGTCAAGTTTATGTGCTGAAATAGAATCTCTCAATATACTTCAGTTATTTTATCTGTGCACCAGTACGCAAGCTAAAGATTTGACATTTTTGTGTGTACACATGTGAGATCACATTTATTGAGTATTTACAAAAAATATAGCGTACTTGTACGCAATAGACTTAATAGGGATTTAGTTTTCACATATATATTTGTGTAATTTACGCATCTAAACCTCTGTGATTGGGCTTTGAAAAGCCCTTAAAACGGACTTACATTTAATGAATGATAATCTGTACAAACCCTGGTAAAGTAGGAGGGAGGCAAACCTGCTTGTTGTTTCACGGGATTAGAATCGGCTCTAGACACACTTAGACCTGTCAGTCTCTACAACTGTAACAAGACTGGATTCATCAGGGTCTCTAAATGTGACACAATAGAAACCAATCAGCAACCAGCCTTAGTTTGGTGCTGTACACTGTGATATGTGCTATAATATCCCTGTTTGTAAGTACGTGGTTTGGCCACAAGGTAGCCTAGTGGTTAAAGTGCTCACCATCACACCAAAGAACCGGGATTGATTCTCCCACATGGGTACAATGTTTGAAGCCTATTTCTAGGGTCTCCTGCTGGGGTATTGCTAAAAGCGGCGTAAAACCATACTCGCTCACTCTTGCTATCAGGTGCCCTTCCATGAAACCATACTCGCTCACTCTTGTTATCAGGTGCCCTTCCATGAAACCATACTCGCTCACTCTTGTTATCAGGTGGCCTTCCATGAAACCATACTCGCTCACTCTTGTTATCAGGTGGCCTTCCATGAAACCATACTCGCTCACTCTTGTTATCAGGTGGCCTTCCATGAAACCATACTCGCTCACTCTTGTTATCAGGTGGCCTTCCATGAAACCATACTGCTCACTCGCTCACTCTTGTTATCAGGTGGCCTTCCATGAAACCAAGCTCTGCTCGCTCACTCTTGTTATCAGGTGGCCTTCCATGAAACCATACTTTCGCTCACTCTTGTTATCAGGTGGCCTTCCATGAAACCATACTGCGGCTCACTCTTGTTATCAGGTGGCCTTCCTCGCTCACTCTTGTTATCAGGTGGCCTTCCATGAAACCATACTGAAACCATGCTCGCTCACTCTTGTTATCAGGTGGCCTTCCATAAAACCATACTTCGCTCACTCTTGTTATCAGGTGGCCTTCCATGAAACCATACTCGCTCACGCTCACTCTTGTTATCAGGTGGCCTTCCATCGCTCACTCTTGTTATCAGGTGGCCTTCCATGAAACCATACTAAGCTCACTCTTGTTATCAGGTGGCCTTCCATGAAACCATACTCGCTCACTCTTGTTATCAGGTGGCTTCCATTCCACTCTTGTTTAAGGTGGCCTTCCATACATACTCGCTCACTCTTGTTATCAGGTGTTATCAGGTGGCCTTCCATAAAACCATACTCGCCACTCTTGTTATCAGGTGGCCTTCCATGAAACTCTTGTTATCAGGTGGCCTTCCAGGTGGCCTTCCATGAAACCAACCACTCTTGTTATCAGGTGGCCTTCCATGAAACCATACTTTAAAACCATACGCTCACTCTTGTTATCAGGTGGCCTTCCATGAAACCATACTCGCTCACTCTTGTTATCAGGTGGCCTTCCATGAAACCACTTCGCTCACTCTTGCTCCTCTTGTTATCAGGTGGCCTTCCATGCTCACTCTTGTTATCACCATGAAACCATGAAACCATACGCTCACTCTTGTTATCAGGTGGCCTTCCATGAAACCATACTTTCGCTCACTCTTGTTATCAGGTGGCCTTCCATGAAACCATACTCGCTTCTTGTTATCAGGTGGCCTTCCATGAAACCATACCTTTTCGCTCACTCTTGTTATCAGGTGGCCTTCCATAAAACCATACTCGCTCACTCTTGTTATCAGGTGGCCTTCCATAAAACCATACTCGCTCACTCTTGTTATCAGGTGGCCTTCCATAAAACCATACTCATAAAAAGCTCACTCTTGTTATCAGGTGGCCTTCCATAAACCATACTTCGCCACTCTTGTTTATCAGGTGGCCTTCCATGAAACCATACTCGCTTCTTTTATCAGGTGGCCTTCCATAAAACCATACTCGCTCTCACTCTTGTTATCAGGTGGCCTTCCATAAAACCATACTCGCTCACTCTTGTTATCAGGTGGCCTTCCATGAAACCATACTCGCTCACTCTTGTTATCAGGTGGCCTTCCATGAAACCATACTCGCTCACTCTTGTTATCAGGTGGCCTTCCATAAAACCATACTCGCTCACTCTTGTTATCAGGTGGCCTTCCATAAAACCATACTCGCTCACTCTTGTTATCAGGTGGCCTTCCATAAAACCATACTCGCTCACTCTTGTTATCAGGTGGCCTTCCATAAAACCATACTCGCTCACTCTTGTTATCAGGTGGCCTTCCATAAAGGTGAACGTAATAATCATGCCTAACATAACTCAATCAAATATTATTGATAACCTCCACTCAATTTATAGTACCCTGGTCTCAGTCTCGACCATAGCTTCACTTTGAACCAGGGTGGTCAGGCTTGCTGACTAGGTTGACACATGTCATCGGTTCCCAATTGCGCAGATCGATGCTCATTCTGTTGATCACTGGATTGTCTGGTCCAGACTCGATTATTTACAGACCGCTGCCATATAGCTGGAATATTCCTGAGTGCCGCGTTAAACTAAACTCACTCACTTTGAACCATGTTTAAAAGTTGGACCACTAGAACCTGCTGTCCAATCACCTTACAAGATTCAAGTGCCCCATTCTAATGATAGAGAAACCATACATATGCAGAGATGCCCACCCATGCGATGTTATCATCACGATATTTGAAAAATAACACAAACGACTCATGATAGCAGTGAAAATATACGAATTTTAAAAAACAACACATTGAATTTAACTATAAAATAGCATACGTCCCATACGCAATAAATTTCAACCACATTTTATTCAGTATCAAGCTATAAGTGGATACTTACTTCTGATTTAGGTGAGTACAATGTTAATAACAAGTTCTTAGAATATCTATATGTTTATTAATTAAATATGAAAATCCTTTCGGAAAGTTAATACTAAATTTGGCCCATAAGTACTAATCTTTGCATCAGTTTTTGGCCAAAATACTAACTGGGCTAAATTAGGGTTGGCATCTCTGCATATTACTAAATATATTTCAAAAATCTGTGTGCACAATTTGGACAGTTTGCATTCTGTCCAGTTTAAGTATCAACACTGTGAAATGATATGTGTGTACTTTAACTTACACTTTATTTGTTTGTGTTGTAAAGAACTCTACTTTGTGCCAGAAATATTATCTCAGATGCGAGAAATGAGTCCACAATAATTTCTCTGAGTTTAACCACTGGGTGATGTTAATCACATGATAGTTAAATGCTATTGAATGCCACATTTTATTATGCTGCTGGTTCTGTGAGCCAGTACTGAACCGAATGGAAATGCTGGTGTTACCCATTGTGTACACGATAATCGTGTACGCATCATCCTGGATACGGCCAGACAGAATCATGTGAACATCCAATAATACCTTCCACTCCAGCTGTTGGTTTGGTTAGATTAATCATCCATGAAGATCCGGGTTAGAATTGAGCAACCCATGCTTGTGGTAAGAGGCGATTAACGGGATCGGGTGGTCATGCTCGCTGACTTGGTTGACACATGTAATTGTATCCTAATTGCGTAGATCGATGCTCATGCTGATGATCACTGGATTGTTTGGTCCAGACTCAATTATTTACAGACCACCCCCACATTGCTGTAATATTGCTGAGTGTGGCGTAAAACTAAATTCAATCTCAAACTCACTAAACTGGCAAGGTCAGGTTATGATTTTTAGTCCATCTGACTGAAAGTGGGCTTCTGTCATGACACATCTATTGTTCACCCATTATTAGTTTTTATCTCAGAATACATCTTCGACTATAGTGTCTCTAAAACAATGCTCCCATAATTTTATATATAAATATTTTGCACTTAGTTGCCAATGTGGTAAAGGTGAGCTACAGTACTTGCTGTATTTGTTGTAGGTTCGTTCAGTGATAGTCTGTAATAGTTGCTCTGTGTGTAAGAAATACAATCCTGGGTATGGTGCAGTGTGCGAAATAGTTTCCAAATTTTGCTAGCCAGACGGGCTAGCTATGCCTGAAAGTTACTAGCCCAGAAGCTATTTCACTGGCCCAAAATTTGAATATAGACACAGGTTTCATCATTAAACTGCTAACATGATGAACATTTTTTTCAGGTCATTATCTAAAAATCAGGACATGATTGAAAAGTGTATTCAAACTTGACAAGTTTGAGAGAGTGATATATTTACGATATGACCCCATTAAAATTCACTAGCTAGTCGGGCTAGTGATTGTGGAGGTTTATTGGCCCGACTGGATTTTTACAAACCATGGGCTAGCGGGCCAGGGGTTATTTCGCACACTGGTATGGTGTCTTTAAAACAATGCTCCCAGAATTCTAATCTTATTTCATACACAACAGGTAGTTGCGAATTTAATGGAGGTGAGCTTCAGTACCTACTACCTTGTGTAGTTGTCGTAGGATCATTCATAGATAGTGTATAATAGTTACCCTGTGTGCTACAGAGTAAGAAATACAGTGACTGCTATGGTGTTTCTAAAACAATACCCCCAGAATTCTAATCTTATTTTATACACAACAGGTAGTTGCCGATGTAATGGAGGTGAGCTTCAGTACCTACTACCTTGTGTAGTTGTCGTAGGATCATTAGTAGATAGTGTATAATAGTTACCCTGCGTGCTACAGAGTAAGAAATAAAGTGACGGCTATGGTGTTTCTAAAACGATACCCCCAGAATTCTAATCCTTTTTTATACACAACAGGTAGTTGCCGATGTAATTACGATGTGCTTTGTGTATTTGTTGGATGTTTGTTCAGTGATAAATGTTTCCACTGTGTGTTGCAGAGCAAGGTCCAAGCACACCCTCACAGACCCCCAGTGTCCAGATTGACCCAAGTCAGCACTTCCGGCTGTTCCAGGAGATTCAGGCGGCATTGACGGCTGACGAGGATGGGGATGTGTGAGTACTAGGGCTTATACGAATCGCTCACGTATTCGGTGAATTGAACATCATCAGTTCATGACTCAATTCCTTATTCACAATCACTAGAAGCAGATATTGAGGATTTTTACGAAAAGAAGTTGTTTTACCTTGTTGACTTAAATTGGGGTTTTATTTATCAAAGCCAGATATGAAAAATGGGCTAGATCCAAGCCAGGCCAATGGATGAGCTTTGTGTAGCTGATCCCATGTTACATCAGGGAAAGAAACCTTTCAAAATTTCCCACTTGACTACAGGACCAGTGAGTGCACAATAATTAGTGGTCCTGTCTGTACTTCACTGGTCCAAAATAACATTCATAGATTTACTTAACTACCAATACAAAATTCACTGGCCACCAGGACCACAGCAAATTTTATCATTTAGTGGTCCTGATGAATTTTATAAGCCTGGGACCACAGGACCAGCGTAAATTTCACATAAATTTCAAATAAATAGACCCAAGAGTATCCCTGCATATTGCACCTTGTAATACATCCTTCTCCGTTGCAGTCCGCTGCATCTGGCTGTGGTGCATGAGCACATCCCTCTGGTGCAGAAGTTTATCCAGCTCATGAAGATCGCCAGGAAGAGTGTGGACCGCTTCAATAAAGACAAACAGGTAGACTATAGCTGGTTACTGATGGATGTGAGAGCTGCTTTTGTTAAGTTCATTAAGTTTGGTGGAGGTGATTGGGGTAGCCTAGTGGTTAAAGGCGTTGGCTCATGAAGCTGAAGACCGGGTTCGATTCCCCATGTGGGCACATTGTGTGAAGCTCATTTCGGTGTCCCCTGCGTGATATTGCTGGAATATTGCTAACAGCGGTATAAAACCCAACTTACTCACTCACTCCTCATTACTGCAATAGTGATCAAAGCAGTGCTAATCCCTCCCCTAAGTCACATAAATTTGTTTACAGCCTAAGATGAAGCGACAGCATACCTAAATAAAATGCACAGAATAAAATTATGATCAGAACAGATGCAAATTAACTCTGGACCCGAAGAAAACTATCGATAATTGATAACATGTGAGTAAATACCTACCCAACAGCTAAACATGATTACAAAAAGTGAGCTCAGATGATAACGCTCACTCTTCTCCCCACAGACCCCTCTCCATCTGGCAGTTAAGCTGAACTTTCTGGGGGGAGTCAGAGCTCTGCTGGAAGCAGGAGCAGACGTCAACTTTGTAGACAAGACCGGCTGCACATCCTTACACCTGGCGGTCAAACACCAGCTGCCCGAGTGTCTGCAACTGCTGGTCAGTGGTACCAAGGAGAAGGCGGACTTCAATACCAGGAACTTTGAAGGTTGGTTACAATAATTCACACGTGGGGTATAACTGGCTTATTGCTGTCTTGGTGTGAAACAATCGATAACATTAAACTGGCTTTCCCAGGAGATATTGCTTGGTTTGCTTTGCAACCATTGTGATGTGATCGGTAACCATGGCATCAAAATCAAATGACATCACAGATGTTGCTACCACATCAGCTGTACTGTACACCCAAGACACTGGGTTTTACTGTTTACAAGATGAAACAGATTTGGGATGTGTTTTTATATCAGCTACCCAATACTTGTCAGTCTGATTTCCAAACTCAGGTCATGCTGCCTTAATTAATGTATTTTTTAAGAAGATGGAACATTCTGTTTGGTCATGGTAAAATGGAGAACGCATTCAGTTAAAAATGATGCTACCTGTTAGGGGTGGGTATTGCAGAGAATATTCATATTGCGATATATTGCGATGCAAAAGCATGTATTGCAATATATTGCATGAAGTATTTTTAAACAAAAAACTACATATAATCGAGTTACTGCTTGATTTATGGAGCAAAAACACAACAAAATCACTATGCTTGATTAAGCATTAATAACAAATTTTAATCATGATAGAATAAAAATGTGAATAATATTTGGCACAAAAATAAATAAAACAAGGAAATATCCGAAGATTTCCGAGTGTTACGACGTTTTCCGAATACAAGTCAAAATACCAGTTTTCGATCAGTGTATCGCAATATGTATCGTTTTTATGTCTGGACCGGTAAATACCGGTAAACCGGTTATATTGAGCGCAGCCCTGCTACCTGTAGATGTGACTGTGTGGAACTAAGCATTTGAAATGTCATATTCCTAATTACTGTTCGAAATTTAGATCTGTCAACTAACCATACAGGTACCATAACGCTTTCCTAACAATTCAACTCAACTTCTATATCCTGACAGTTAACATGCACCTTGGACTGTATCATATTGTCCAGACTTCCCCTTACCCATACACCCATTTTTATCAAACTCTTGTTCATGACACCAACCCTTACTCCAACCAACCCACGCAGAATACATTCCCAAGTTTCACTGGCCGTCTCCGTGGTGTAGTGGTTAGAGTGTCCGCCCGGAGAGCGGAAGGTCGCCGGTTCGATCCCTGACCGCGTCATACCAAAAAACGTTAAAATATGGTACTTGTTGGTCTCTGCCTTGAGCTCGGCATTAATGGGTACAACAAGGACTGGTCGGCTCGGAGTCAGTATAATGTGTCTGAGTGGGGTATTCATGCTTCACTGCGGCATGGTATCTCAGTGGGCTAGCACTATAAAACCAGCTTCAGTCTGGGCTAGTACAAGCAGCTGCACATACACATACACACGCATGCACGTTGTCATATGAGCGAAATATTCTCAAGCACGACGTTAAACCCAATTTCACCTCACCTCACCCAATTTTCACTACCACCCCAACCCATGTATACTGTATGCTTGTGATCGTTTTTAGCAACCCTCTTCTTTTGAATTGCCAATATGACATAAATTTCACCGCACTCCATCCCTATGATTACTAGACTTCTTACTCTCGTGAGTAAGAGTGTTACTTTTCATTGGCCTGCCTTGTTCAATATTTTAGATAAGACAGCTTTGGCCTTCTCTTTACAGGGTTAACTCCCCTGCACACTGCAGTGGAGCTTAAAAACAAGAACCTGTTGACATTTATCCTGGACCACGGCGCTGACATCAATATGATGGTAAATATACTGCCAGCAATTTGTTATTTGCTTTTTAAACTCGAGTCTTACAACAGCAACAGGGCTCCAGATAAGGGCCGTATCGGCGTATGTACGGATAAAAAGTATGCACGATACGGTAGGAAATAATTTAGAAAACAGTAGCCGATACGCACCACATGAAACGAAACACAAGATTACTGATAGTCCATTAATATCCTTTTAGTACTCTAAATGTACACTTAAGGTTTTCCAGTACTCCTATATTGAACAAATAAGGAACTCCTCATGTTGAAAAAATTATCTGGATCCCTGAGCAAGTCGCAACGTAGCAAACCGCGACTTCCCTTAATCACCCTTTGTGATGTGATGCCTTGATGCAACAACATTGCCTGTTAGTTATTATCTCCATTTAGAACTGACTTTATACATTTGTTTTCTGTTAGTAATCACATATGTTATTCCCCATGCTTTGAAGGGAGGTGGGATATCTTAGTGGCTGAAGCATCCATTCATTATGATCTGGGTTCGATTCCCCACATGGATACAATGTGTGAAGCTCATTTCTGGTGTCCCCTTCCATGATATTGATGGAATATCGGTAAAGGGAGTATAAAACCTAACAGTGTGAGATTTGGGTTAGAATTGATCTTCAGTAACCCATGCTTGTCATAAGAGATGATTAACGGAATCGTGTGGTCAGACTCGATGACATGGTTGACACATGTCATCGTATCCCAAATGATCGATGCTCATGCTGTTGATGACTAGATTGTCTGGTCCAGACTCGATTATTTACAGACCGCCGCCATATAGCTGGAATATTGCTGAGTGCGGTGTTAAACAACAAACCAACCAACGTAATCGAGCGAATTGTTTGAAACAAGGGAGATAATCAAATCAGTGCCTTTACATTGCACAATATTGTAAAATAATTCCAATGTGGAAATTTGTACTGCAAGTTGCTGCAGACTTTGGGCTGGATGTGGACCTTGGAGCAGTGCCACATATATCCTGGATATGGTTTGATATTGATTGGATAAGGATGGACTGGTAATCGTATAATACTGAAAGATTATTACCCAAGTTTTCACTGACAGAGACTGTATATGTAATTCATAGATGAACTCCAAGTTTTGTTTTCATTCAGACCATGTATAGTTGACCTATGTCTTATCTGTGAATAACTAACATGACAGAGCAGGAGGGGTTGTCTCCCTTAGTACACTGTCGGTGCAGTGAAGGAGTTCTCTCCCTTGTACATCTGTCGTTTGTCTAAACCCAATATCTGTCTCTGGTGTTAAGCGATGCCATAGTAGGTAACTTGAATCCAGGTATCACTTCTTTAAGTTTAAAGCAGGACCCTTCACCCGGCAGCAGTGAAAGAGTTTTCTCCCTTTGTATATGCATGTTAGTAAACCTGATTGACTAGAATAATTATTTCTCATCCATTAACTTGAATCCCAAATAGCTTTAATCTGTGATTGTATGTAGTTAGCCATTTTACTTTCAGACAGTTTTTGTATTTTGAGCAAGTTGGGGAAGTGCTCTTTAGTGTGTTTATTTAAATCAGTATTCCATAACAGAAACAACATTTAACCAAACATTTCATTGGCGGATCGTGGTGTGTGTGTGTGTGTGTGTGTGTGTGTGTGTGTGTGTGTTGTGTGTGTGTGTGTGTGTGTGTGTGTGTGTGTGGGTGTGGGTGTGTGGGGGTGTGGGTGTGAGGGGGGTGTGGGTGGGGGGTGTGGGTGTGGGTGTGGGTGTGGGTGTGGGTGGGTGGGTGGGTGGGTGGAGTGCGTGCGTGCGTCGCGTGGGTGGAGTGGCGTGCGTCGCGTGCGCGTCGCGTGCGTGCGTGCGTGTGTGTTATGAACAAAACATTAAAGGTCATAAGCGTGTTGCCATGGGTTTGACGAGATATATTACTTCATTCAAGCATCATGAAGATCCACGTTAGAATTGGTCTTCAGCAACCCATGCTAGTCATAAGATGCGACTCACAGGATCAAGCTTGCTGACTTGGTTGACACATCATCGTTTCCCAATTGTGCAGATCGATGCTCACTGACTATTACAGACCGGCGCTATATAGCTGGAATATTGCTGAGTGCGACATTATACAACAAACAAACAGGGAAAACTTTACTGAGAAAATGGAATCCCAATTCTTTTTTTACTTTTTTTTATTACTATAACAAACATCAGCACATATTTATTACTATAATGACATCAGCACATGTTGCGTTTTATTATAATGACATCATCACATGTTGCGTTTTACTATAATGACATCATCACATGTTGCGTTTTACTATAATGACATCACAACACGTTGTGTTTTACTATAATGACATCAACACGTGTTTTACTATAATGACATCATCACATGTTGCTTTTTACTATGATGACATAACACCACTTGGTGTTTTTTACTATAATGTCATCAACACATGTTGCGTTTTACTATAATGACATCAGCACATTGCGTTTAACTATAATAACATAATCCCAAATCTAATATATGTTTAATATGACTTATTGCTTGATCCTAGGATGGCAAAAGTGGACGTACACCCATGTTCCACGCGGCAGAGAATAATGAAATAGACATGGTGGAGTTGCTCCTAAAGAGGGGAGGTAACCCTGATGTGTTGAACTACGCCGGCAGCACGGCCATCATGGCAGCTCAAGCCCGCAACTTCAATCAGATCACGAAGATGTTGAGTCGGGCGTCAGAGTGGAATGATGAAGAAGGAAGTGGAACGTCATCTCCAGCGTCGGAGGTATGTCAGGTTTGTGTGCAACATCACTCCATTTGAAGCTCGCTTTGCATTGTGAATGTCCTCACCAGGTAGAAACCAGATCCCTGTTGCTGAAAGCAATCTAAGCTCTAAGACTATCATAAGCCAGTGTTCAAGACACTATATCACACCACACTTCTCTAAAAATAAATAATGAATTTCTCTCAATAATACTAACTATCAGCCTTCAGGGAAGCTACCATATAATTTATTTTCAAAATATTTTACGTATTTAGATTACAAAATTAAATTAAAAGTTCGAATGAATTAATGCAACGTTGCATTAAATCGACTCTCGCACCCTCTACCAGCCGAACATTATTTTAAGCGAATCCCTTAGAGTTATGTCCCTTGGAGCGCTCTTGACGAATATCCTACGCACAACTTGTGATTGAGACCAGTTCCGCAAACACCGACAACACCGTGTGCGACAGTTTTCGATGTACGGAGCAATTGTTTACATTCCATATATGGCAAGTGTTCTCTGTTTGGAAGCTGTTTGCCTCGAAGTTATCAATTTTAGACAAGTCGTAAGGGGTAATAAGTCTTTTATTGCATCAATAGGAAGCAAAAGTGAGTGCATATGCCCTAATACATGTATATATAATATAGACCAAAATATTGTCGAAAATGTGTGACATTGTGCCTTTAAGGTGACAAGCTGTGATGAAAAAGTATCAGAGCTCCAGATAAGATTTAGCTAATGTGGGTACTGTACCCACTGTATTTTATTGGAGTGGGTATTATGAATGATGAGTGGGTATTTCATTTTCCATTACCCACTGTTTTCAAATATGTGCGTATTTCAGTCATTTTACACACCTAAGTATTGTGTCATTGAGTAAGTTTACTAAGCAGGTATGTTCTGCCTTATGTCATACCTAATCAAAACCAACTTAAATATAAGGGAAATGATTTCATAAAAATCAGTCATCCTATACTGACAGTACAACACTAGTCCTATACTAACAGTACAACTTGATAGCAATCGATGTCTTTTTCATTACGCAAGTGATTTTTATAAGTATATTCTGTACGCATTTGTTTTAACTCTTTGCGTATCTAACAGTTTAAATGCTTAATTGGTACGCAACAATTATTTTTCAATGCGTAATTGGAAATTTTCTATGCATATTTTACCTGGATACGCAGCTTATCTGGGCCTCTGCAGTATAAATTCATTGTGATTCATGAATATTGCATTGTGTTGTTACAGGTCAGCGTGTACGTCCCAGACCCAGGTGTAGGGGTATGGAAACACTCAGTTCCACTTCGTAATCCTGCAACAACACAGAAGGGCACCACACAAACTGCCCAAACATTTCCCCGATCTTCGTCATCCGTAGCTGACAACGAGGTGAGCCTTACACAGACGAGTGCTGGGAAGTCTTCGGAAACTGTGCCTCCCGTAACCGTTAGCAACAGCATCATGGACAAGTCAGTGGTGATGGAAAAGAGGTCATCAGAAATGTCAAGGACAGTGTCAAGGTCACCCAAGGTTAATTCTGTGACTGCTGATGATGTGAAGAGGAAAGAACAGGAGAAAGGGAACAGCAATAATTCTGCTCAGCCTGTTGAGAGAACACCCAGTTTGAGATCCAGTGAGTTAAATATGGTAGATATTTCCAAATTTCCTCCACAACTTGTACAAAATATGATGCAGAGAATAATAGCTGCAAAGCAGCAGATGATATCCTCATCAGGACCGGAGAAAAGAGGAAGTGGTTCTGTTTCAAAAGCTGGTTCTGATGTGATTGTGTCGCGCTCCAATTCAACAGTGTCCTTGACAAAAGTTTCGTCAGTGGATCAGACTGTGACATCAAGCCCAGGAAGTTTGTTTTGTCAATCGCCTGCATCTTCTCACCAGACTGTGACGTCTCATCCATCTGTGACGTCTCATCCATCTGTGACGTCTCATCCATCTGTGACGTCTCATCCATCCGTGACGTCCCATCCATCAGTTGTATCTCATCCAGCTGTGGCTTCTCGTTTGTCGGTCACTTCTCCGTTGCCTGTAGTGTGTCACCCATCAGCAACGTCTCACACAACGGTGACTTCTCACCTTCCTGTTTTTTCTCATGCAGTTGGCATTGTGACATCTCACTCAAATGTGACATCTCATTCAGCCAGAATAGCACAGCCAGCTGTGACCTCACATCAGATATCTCGTCAGAATGTCACGCCATCCCCACCATCGACAACATCAGATCACGTGGCGCCATCAACACAGATTGTGGGAAAAGTGTCCCAAGTTATTGAAAAGCTACCACAGCAACCCGAACGGATCATCAGCACTGGGATGGTCGTGGAGCACCCCGAGTTCGGGCTTGTGTTTCGGCCATTTAGTGCTGGACCTGTTCATAAACTTAACCAGCCAGAGTCAGTTCTGAAGACACTTCCGCCTTCCCCAGCGATGAGACTTGCTGAACTGCCCATGCCGGACTCACAGACTGTGTCTGAAAAAAATACATCTGAAAAAATAGTTAAGAAAACTAAAAGTCAGACCGATGGAAGTGCAACGACCTCTACAACCAAGAAGTCGGGCAACGGAGACACAAAAGTTACCTCCTCTATATCTGATGCCATTTCTTCAACTAAGGAACAACCTTATCATCCTGTGACGGAAAAACTTCTCAATTCAAAGCCAAAGTCAACATCCATTCCAAAATCCAGACCAGAAAGTCATCCTAAATCACAGCCTGGAGCTCCTGCTGCAGACACAAATCAAGTGAAATCAATAGCTAATTCAGCCATAGCTGCAAAGTTGCGTCAACGAGTTCTCAATTCACCGCATGTAGATTCAGCAACAAAGGCATTGGCTCACGCTACAGTGACCGTCACCCCGACGACACACTCCAGTGAGACTGTAACGACTGCTCCAGAGCGGGTCCCGAAATTGCCGCAGTTTAGTTCCCGTCCTCTTAGCATCGCGCCCAATTCCACAGGTTCCTCTACAGAACCACGCAAATCATCGGTTTCCAAAATACTTGAGCACCTTTCCAAGCCAATTGATAGTTACCCACCTGAGCGGCCAAGGTTAAACGTGGATGCCAGTAAGCTAAACTTTGATGGAAGCGAACAAAACGCTGATGGGGAAGAAGACTGAGAAAAGAAAGAAAACATCCTGGTTCGAAATAAAAAGCGGTATTTATTAAGGAGAGTGAGGAAAAGACAGGTAGTCGGCTGGATAACCCAGTCAATGTAACGTGACAAGTGTAGTGTGGAGATCAAGGAACGTTCTTTACATTGAAGGAGGTAGTTGCGTGGATCTTGGCATGGAGGATCTATGAATTATCTTAAACGAAATTGACATTTTTGTAACAATCTTCTAGCTACCAGGTATAGAGTTGTTCTTTGTTGTAGCTAGATCTTAATTCCAGATGGAACCAAATGTTAGGACACTCTGGCATGCAAGGAAATAGGTTTGTATATGTGATGAATGAGTGCTTTAAACATAGATGTGTTGGAAACAATGATGCATTCTCTTAGACAGTGTTACATGGTGTTGGACAAATTGATGCATTGGTTTGGAGGCAGTGATTCATTGTGTTGGACAGTGTTCACTTGTGTTGGACAGTGTTCACTTGTGTTGGAGAAAGTGATTGATCATGTTGGACAGGGTTGCATTTTGTTTTATACATTGTTGCTTTGTGTTGGAAAGTATAGCATTGTGTCAGACAGTGTTACAACATGTTTGACACCAGTGTTTCCGCTGGCATTTTTGGGGGATATTGTGACCGGCTAGCATTTCAAATACTGGTCATTTGTAAATTTTACCCGGTCAACTGATCCCGCTTCTCGTGTCGCGCCAAGACCTTGCACCCTAACAACCAATCAGAAATGTAGAGGGTATCGCAATGTCGTCAGTGCCGCTATTTTTAGCCTGGGGTTTCCAAAACTGCTATTTTATTTGACAACACCTCAATGTCATTATATACACGTAATCAATTTTGAGGAGAAATAAAATTGACAGAGGTAATTAGAAAATTGATTTTAAAATTTGCCGGACACGATAGGGGACAGCTTTTGAAATTACCGGACATTCTAACGTTGTACTGGTCAGAGTCCAGGATATACCAGATAACTGAAATACTGGACACAATGGAGCATTGTGTCAGACAGTGTTGAATCACGATTGACACAGTGTCACTTGTGTTGTACAGTGTATCATTGTGTCAGACAGTGTTGTATCACGATTGCCACAGTGTCACTTCTGTTTTACAGTGTAACATTGCTTCACTTAATGTTGTACAGGACAGTGTTGCATCACGATTGCCACAGTGTCACTTGTGTTGTACAGTGTATCATTGTGTCGGACAGTGTTGCATCACGATTGACACAGTGTCACTTGTGTTGTACAGTGTATCATTGTGTCAGACAGTGTTGCATCACGATTGACACAGTGTCACTTGTGTTGTACAGTGTATCATTGTGTCAGACAGTGTTGCATCACGACTGACACAGTGTTCCTTGTGTTGGAAAGTTTAGTATTGTGTCAGATAGTGTTGCATCACAATTGACACAGTGGAGCAATGTGTTTATACTGTGTGCCAGACAGTGTTACATTGTGTTTGACACAGTGTTATATGATGTGGATCATGGGGATGCCTTGTCTTCGACATGTTCATCGATTGCCTTGGACAGTGTTGTAGTATGTTAGATGCAGTTCTCCATGATGTTGGACACAGTGATATACTGAGTTAAATATGTGTACATCACAGAAGATGAACAGTTATGACAATGGTGAACTGAATTTAGTTTCGGGACAGGCTAGGATAAACAGAAGAGAGGATGAAGATTCAGTACACACATGACTGTTGTACGAGTCTATTCATTTATCATCTGCTCATTATAAAACAGTGATAACCCATTTATCTTTTCAGTACACGGATGTAGCTGTAATTTTTGTAATCTGACTTTTTTCTTGATTAGGCAATGATATGGCTAAATCTGGTTTGGGGGATAGAGCTTAATATTGCTGTATGGTTGTCCTGTGATGTGGCTGTAATATTGCTGAGTTGGGTTTCCGTGATATAGCATTAATTTTGCTGACTCAGATTTCCTGGTATAGCTGTAATATCGCTGAGTTGGGTTTCCGTGATATAGCATTAATTTTGCTGACTCAGATTTCCTGGTATAGCTGTAATATTGCTGACTCGGATTTCCTGGTATAGCTGTAATATTGCTGACTCAGGTTTCCGTGATATAGCATTAGTTTTGCTGACTCAGATTTCCTGGTATAGCTGTAATATCGCTGAGTTGGGTTTCCGTGATATAGCATAAATTTTGCTGACTCAGATTTCCTGGCATAGCTGTAATATTGCTGACTCGGGTTTCCGTGATATAGCTGTAATATTGCTGACTCGGGTTTCCTTGGTATAGCTGTAATATTAGTAACTCTGGTTTTGGGGATAGGGTTCTAATATTGCTGTCTGTAATCCTTTGATGTGGCTGTAATATTGCTGACTCAGGTTTCCGTGATATAGCTGGAATATTGCTGACACAGGTTTCCATGGTATAGCTGTAATATATCTGACACAGGTTCCATGGTATAGCTGTAATATTGCTGACTCTTTGATGTGCCATTAGTATTACAAGCAGAAGAGACAATGATATAGCAGAATATTGCTAGCAAATATATCAACCGTGTCTGTGTCACTTTATATGCAATTTGCTTCCCAGTTATTCTAGTTAACTACAATCTTTGGATTTTCTTCTAACTTAGGTGTGGTGTAATGGCATGTAATCAGAAGTAAGAAATTCCTTGTAATTTATTTGAGTATTACAATGAGCCAAATTTTCAAAAGTGCTAATTTTCCTTAATGTTTCTGAAAGGTATCTTTACTGAAATTCTTCACAGTGAAGGTCCCAAACTGTCCTGTGTTGTGTTGACTGTCCCAAGTTATATGTTTTAAATCTATCACAGACTGCATTCAGTTTCTTCACATATTTTTTATGTCACAGTGTTTTTGGGGTTGTTTCATAGTTATGGCAATTGTATGTTTGTACTTGAAAATGGCAGCACAATGGTACAATTCTTCATCAATCAATCTTTGCATCATTTTCATCACAGTGTTTGTATCTGAATACTTAGTTAACTTCATCAATGCTACACTTGCCAATTCATCACTATACAACCAGATTCAATATACAGAATATTTTACACTCCTGTGAACATTGTCAGGAATGGCTATGGTATTGTCAATGGTGCTGTGGGTGAGTATGATTGTATACCCTTCTGGGCATGCCAGTCTCGTGACGTGCTACTTCCGGTACTAAGCTGATTCCCGGCTCCCACTGCACGCGCCAACTTGCAATATGCGAGATGGGGACCAACTTAATTCCGGTACCACAGGGGGCTGTGGGGTAGCCTAGTGGTTAAAGCATTCGCTCGTCACGCCGAAGACCAGGGTTCGAATCACCACATGGGTACAATGTCTGAAGCCCCTTTCTGGTGTTCCACCGCTGTGATGTTACTGGAATATTGCTAAAAGCAGCGTAAAACCTAACTCACTCACTCACTCCAGTACCAGATTTCTGGTGCCAAGCATATAATCAAGAACCAGTTCTGGTTCCAAATTGCACGACTGCCAAATATGGCATTACTAGACCGGACCAAGTGTACGCTGTTTGTCACTGGAATCGTGAAGTGCGTGACCTACTTACATCCCTATATTGGCTTCCCCATTCACACATGGGAATCAAACCCAGCACTTCAACCACCTGATTACCCCTGCCCGGCATTGTGATAAATAACTTTGATTGATCCAAAAACAGTGACCATTATGCAAATTGGAGAATGGATTCTTGAGAAGCTTTGTTAGCAACAGGCTATGTTTTGGTCACTGCACCAGAATGATCAGTGGTCAATATATCTTTCAGGTAAATCCTGAAAAAAATCTCTTTTATGCACGTAACTGCCATGTTAAGTTTGGTCTCAGAAAAGATCACTTACAAATTGCTGAAGGTAACGCAAGGCAAACCTGTCAAGTCTTGACATGACATTGTCATTGTAGTTGATGGAACTCTTGTAACTGGTCCTGAGTGAGGAGTGCTGTCAGGCTGCTGAATTGAAGGACCCAGGGTACCATGGTACCCTCAGGAACCCAAGTTCATTATGCAGAGTTCCATTCTTTGGATATGACAGAAGCTTTGGTTGCGGGTTCCCAGTTCGTGGCCATACTGAAGTCTTAGACCTGCAGACCTCTAGACTTTAATTCTATAAGAGGCTACCCTGCCATGATATAATCATTCAGATTTCTGGGCATCGTACCAATGCTCCTGGTTTTCACCAAAATGGTAAATGGTTGAAACCTGCATCCCTCTGGGCTTTCTTACCACAGACTGATCTGCTATCACACAACCAGTGGGATTGTATTTCTGGGTTCCCAGCACTGTACCCATCCTATTTGGTGTCACCAAAATGTAGGATATCTGAGACCTTCATCCTTCTGGGCTTTCTGACCACAGACTGATCTGCTATCACACAACCAGTGGCATTGTATTTCTGGGTTCCTAGTTCAATTTTATTTGGCGGTTTCCCAGCACTGTACCCTTCCTATTTGGTTTCACCAAAATGTAGGATATCTGAGACCTTAATCCATCTGGGCTTTCCAACCACAGGCTCACATGCCATCACAAAATCGCCCAGATTTTATTTTTGGGTTTTCAGCATTGTACCCATCCTATTTGGTGGGGTAGCCTAGTGGTTAAAGCGTTCGCTCGTCATGCCGAAGGCCCTGGTTCGATTCCCCACATGGGTACAATGTTTGAAGCTCATTTCTGGTGTCCCCCGCCGTGATATTGCTGGAATATTGCTAAAAGCGGCGTAAAACTAAACACACACACACTATTTGGTTTTTACCAATATGGAAGACGTGCGAGACCAGCATGACTTTAACATCCAACTACTGGAAGTGTAATTAAATCCACCCTTCTCATAGAACATTCTACTGTCTCCCCCTGAAATGACTGAAGTATTGTTCAAATTGGCATAACCCCTGAACGAATAGTTTCAAGAACATTCATACCACAATTAGCAATCACTGCTTATAATCTTCAGTAGTGAGGATATGTATTTATATATCATCATCAATATTGTCAGTATCAATATTGTCAGTATCAATATTGTCAGTA